GATCACCCAAGGTGGTTGTTGTTGGAGAAGAGTTGGTGTGCAGTGCACGCCTACGCTCAGCGTCTTACCACTCTTGCCCAACTCTGTCTCTAGGGTAGAATCAAATCCCTGATTGCTATATCTGAGCTTATGTCTCTGATCCTCAGTGAGACCACTGTCTTAGTCCATTTGTGTGGCTATAATGAAAGATCTGAGACTGGGTAATCTGTAAAGAAGAGAAATGTATCTTCTCATAGTTCTGGTGGCTGGGAAGTCCAAGATCAAGGTACCAGCGGGCAAGTGCCCAGTCTCTGCTTCTAAAATGGTACCTATTGCTGCATCCTCCGGAGGAAAGGAGTGCTGTGTCCTCACATGGCAGAAGGGCCCAAAGGGGTGAAAAGAGGCAGACTGCCTCCTTCAAGCCCTTTTGTATGGGCACCTAATCCCATTCATGAGGGCAGAGCCTTCATGACTTAATCACCTCTAAAGACTTCACCTCCCAGTACTGCTGCATTGAGGATTAAGTTTCAACCTGAATTTTGGAGGGAACAAAAACATTCAAACCATAACAGCCAGATGTTTCCAGTTCTTCTACTCCACAAGTGTAGCCCCGTTGCGATTCTACAGGAAGATCCACTGGCAGCAATATAACTCTAGAACTCCTTCCCCATGTTTCCTGACATGGAAATGGCAAAGAATTGTTGGATCTAGCAGTGATGAAGGGGAAATGATTACTGTCTTTTCTGTCTCCACTATTCCCAGGTATTCCAGCTCTTTCTCACCCTCCAATTCTCTTCTTGTTGGGCTGATATTACAGTGGGGGTTTAATCCTGGATAGGTTGATAGTGCATAAGGAATCCTGATAGTTAAAGAGGGTTAGGCACAGCCTGCTCTATGCTTGAAATTGACCCTAATAGTTATTTCCTGCTTCTAACCCTTTTCTCCCAACCCCACCTAATACTATCCATCTGGTCAAGGGTGACTAGGGACCCTCCCCAACCCTTATCGCTCTCTGAACAAGACGCTTACATTTTGATGAAATTACATTTCATTAAAACATACATATCCTTTGTTTCATTTTCTTATATCATTTCATCCTGCTTTCCAGAGAGCTCCCTACTATGACAAATTCCTTAGGATGATATCCAAGTCCAGCAGTAGTGGGCCAGGTGGGAAAAGAAGAACAGTTATTGAGAGGTACCAAGGAAGTAGGTACAAAAGCAGAGCCATGAATTAAGTCTAAAAGCCAAGCTAAGAGCAGAAGAGAGAGGAATGAATAGCAGGATTAGCAGTTAGGAGAATCAAAACCAGGGTGAACCAGAATTAAGTGGACAATGTGTGGTGATGAACTGAGACAAACTCCTGCTTTCTTCTATCAGGAAAGAGACTTGAGGATTGGAAATTATGTAATAGGAGCTAGTATCTACCATCCCGGATGGCTCAGGCACAGCTGCTCACAGTTAATGTGATGGCTCATGTAATGTAAGCCAGGCTGAGGAAGGGGTCAAAAGTTGTTTAGCACAGTAGTTCAAGGGTAATTTTTCTGCAAGGAGCAAGGTCAAAGACACATTAAAGGAAAGCCTCTATTCTCCTCAGATGAGGTCAGATAGAGGGAAAAATAGCCCTTACATTAGTGTTAGTGTTTTTGTTTCTAAGATAACTAGTAAAGAAACTGGATCAGCTGGCTGAAATTAGAGCACTCATCATTTCCATACCTCTTAAAAAACCTTTAGTAGGACTAGCATCCTACTAAACTTACGGCTGAGTTTGCAAAGCAAAGGAGGAGAAGACATCTTCCTTAGGTGCAGCAGGGGTAGTTTCTAGAAAGACGTGTAAGGGATATAGATTTGGGGGCTTGAAAGAGGGAGATGCAAGGGTTCATCCAAGTGGGATAGATTTCTTCTGAAGACCTAAGCCTCCTTTCCTTGGGTGATAAAATGGAACAAGCAAGATAGGAAGAGTTATTCTACATCATGCTGGACTGAGAGATCTACCTCACCCTTTGGCAAAAGAACTCAGAAAATGTTATATCTGGAAAGACTGGTGAGGCAGGAAGTATATAAGGAAAAGGCAAGGCTTCTACATTACAAAGCTGCAGGGGGTACCACACACATGGGATTCAACGTAGAGGACTCCTTCTGGAATTTGGCAACATGGCACCCCTGAGTATGGGAGAACATTTGCTTCCTGTTCAGCCTTGGGGTGTGTGACCACCTGCTGGTCTTGTCTGCCTAGGAATGTTTCTCATTCTTTTAGCTAAGAATGCTGTTTTTCCCCTGAGAACTCTCCCTTTCCTCACTTTACTACCAATTCCATGAAGTCTTCCTGGGATTCTCTAGTGGGGATTCAAGCTAGCCAATCTCTCCTTAAAATCTGAACTGTAAGTAGAATTACACAAGGCCAGAAATTGTTGGATCTGATGCATTTTACAGTAGCTCCCTGAGAAGACTGTTTATTACTTCCAGCGCCACTCCTAGCACTCTGTGATGCTTAGAAAAGACATGGAGCTCAGGGAATTGAAGCATCTTTCAGCAAAGAAAAAGTCACCCTTTCTCCAGGCAGACAAAACCCCCTACAGAGAGGCAAGGCTTGGTGAGCAGAGAACAAACTAAATCCACCCTAATTTACCTGGTCAGACAGATGCCCTGATGACGCTGAAACCCCTATATCCTTTCCTCTACTTTTGGAAGCCTAGTCGTTCAGATTTTCTTTCAATTCTCTTACTGCCCCATACCCTTCAGCTTAAGTTAGCCAGAGTATGTTTCTGTTGCTTACTATAAAATAACCCCTAAGAGATACATAGCAGTAATATGGTGGAGACAGAGCTGAGGGAGCGCCAGCCCTCACTGTGAATTATTCAACTGAAGCAACACTGGGGATACTTATGGGACATCAGTGGCCCAAATAATAACTGAGTCATGGGGAATTATAAAAGTCAATTCCCTGATGTTTTTTCTCATAGACTGACATACACACAGACATACATACAGGTGTGTGCACACACACACACACACACACACACCCCTCTTCAAGACAGAAGAGGAGGGATCCTGTCACTCAGATTACATTTAGCCTTCTGTACCTATTAAGGGGGCAGGTGAGGGAGGGGATAAAAAGGAACTGTGCCAGATGGTTTATGTCAGCCCAGATGATTTCAAATCTCCTAAGATTCATTCTTGTTCTACCATTTAAAATCATTTAATTTAATTAATTTATTTATTTCCATCATGAGGTAGTGAGTTCCACTGGATTGATGGGTTTCTCCTTCACCCATGACATATTTACACCATATCAGAGCACTTTGGAAGCTCAATCTTCACTAAGCCAGCAATTTTTTTTTTCTTTTCTACATATTTTTCTGTTTTTAACACCTCTCCCTGCTTGTCTATCTTCCTTCCCTCTTGATAGTCAATATAAGAGGAAGGAGGAGGTATAATATTGAAATGGGAGAGCTCACTGGCCCCCCAACAGGATGTGCAACAGGGGTGTAACTCATCTGTTTGGCTGCTGTGCATGCTCAAACACTTTATGGGAGAAGAAGCATGTAGATGAGCAGGTGCAGGAGCTGGGGAGAGTGCTTTTGGGCTCCAGCCCCATGGTAGCATCTGGGGTGGGTGCCTGTGACTTCCAAATCCCCAGTGGGAGTGCGACAGTGCTCTTTTAGCAGTTACCATCTGCAGATAGCTTAAGTGTTAACCAGCTCAGTGCCCTCTTGGTACACAGGTTCTTGTCTCATGTCCAGGATGAATCAGGTCACATGGACAAATTGAAGGATGGTAAATGGGGAAGATTTTATTGCTGGATGGAGGTGGCTCTCAGCAGGATTGATGGGGAGCTAGAAAGAGGATAGAGTGGGAAGATGATCTTCCCCTGGAGTTTGGTGGTCCCATGGCTGATCTCCTCTCTAACTATCCCCAGTCGAACTCCTCTTGATGTTCAGACACTCTTTTTCTTCTCTCCTTCTCTGCTGTACCTCTCTGCTGCCCTGCTGCTCTGCCCTTCTGTTCATCTGCTTGTGGAACCCCGGGGTTTGGGGATTATTTGGGTACAGGATGGGTGGCGTGGTGGGCTAAAAGGCCACATTTTGGCACAAAAACAGGAATGCTGTTCTCATTTAGGGCCTTGGGTTTCCAGGCTTGAAGGTGGGGCCTTTGGCGGGGAACCACCCTCTTCTACCCAGCATTTCCCCACCTCCTGTCACATCACCATGTGGCTTTGGAGATAATAAATCCAAATTTAAATATCAATTTGCGTTTACTAGCTATATGACCCCAGATAAATAACTTACCCTTTTGAGCATGTTTTTCCCTGTCTGCAAAGAGGCATAATATCTGGAGTGGGCATTTATTGTTTTTGCTAGCCGGCATCTATTCCTCTTCCTCTTTCTTCTGTAACAGGAACCACATTTTCTGCTGAGAATCCCTCCGCTGGCCTGGAGGCCTAATGCTTTGCAAAGGAGGAAGTATTAGTGCCTACCCTTTCTCTCTGGAGATGGACATGTGACTCAGGCATGACCCTATTAGGCCACTGTGTCTCCCAGTAAAGGAGTGGGTTCATGAGTGACCATGTGACCCAGTCTAGGCCAGTGGAAATCATGGCCAAGACCTGGATTCAAATCATTCAGAAAGACTTAGGCCTGGAGCTGCTGAGAGCTACTGAGTTGAGGAAGGTTGTCAGAGTGACTCCTAATAAGAAAAAGCAGAGCTGAGAGAGAGACACAATGTCCTGATGACATCATTTGTTCAGTTCAATCCAGAAGGACTTGACACCAAAAGTTCCTGGATTTGGATGCTTTTAGTTATATGAGTCAATACCCGACTCTCCTTTTCTGTTAGCCTGTTGGAATTAGGCTTTTGCATACTTGCACCTGAGAGTCCTGACTGATATGATACTATTTACCTTTCATTGCTGTGATAAGGGTGAGAATTTAAATATGAACAATGTCTAGAATATGGTAGATGGTCAATAAATGGTAGCCTTTGTTATTTCCATTGTTTTTATTGCTGCCATTATTTTCACAGGTGATCCAGAGTCCTAACTGTCTCCTCTCTCATCCCTTCAACCAAACTTTCCTGAGCAACTCTGATGCCAGGCATTTCTAGCACTGTGACAGAACCTGAGGACAGAGGGCCCTGCTTCAAAGGTAACCACCTGCCTCCTTCTGCTATCACAGGGCTGACCTCAGTGCAGCAGAGGGCAGAGCTTGGAGGCAGCTGCTGAGAATTTGCGCTCTAGACATCCACCTAAATCACAAGCTTTATATCTGGGCAGTCAGCCAGACCTCCTGACCATATCCTGGACTGCGGACTTTGGATGGTGGAACGGGGGTGGAATTGAACATTAAATGAGCAACATGCTAATTCCATGCAAATGAATATCTATTTTGAATCAACAGCTTGGACACTTTTTCTAGGAGGGCTGAGGCAGCAGGAATCTAAAGAGAGGATGAGAGGGGGATGGGTTTCTCTCAGAGGCAGCAGAGAGTGCAAGGGGGGCTCCAGGCTGAGTGGAGCCACCTCCTGCCCACAGTTCCTAATGCTATTTGATTGGCTCATTAGCAAGTATGAAACACGGGGAGTCAAAAAAAAAGAATAAAGAAAAAAACCCCAACTCTGGAAAGAATAAACTAACAGATGGAGACTTAATTCAATTTGCATCCAACCTACCCTAGCACCAAGGACTTTGTTTGCTTAACAATGGAGACCCTGGGGGTGGGGAGGGGTCCCTCCTGCAGGGGGGCTGATGGGAATGATCCCAGATCATCTCTTCCATGCTGCTCTTATCTCTTCCTGGGGGCCAGATGGGTATTCTTGTTTTAAAGCTCCTCTCCCTTGGGCTGGTCCTGAATTCATTCTCTGATCCAGAAAGAAAGATTCTTGGGTAGAAATGAAGCTGGCATTGTGGGAAGGATGGGGTGGGGAACTGTGGGTAGCGGCAGCAGAGGGGGATGAAAAGCCATTCAGAAGCCAAGAGACTAGGTCAGGGGGACACCTGCCTCCACATCTCAGCCCGCCCCCAAACCCCACACCCAGAGTGAATCAGAAGGCCAGGTAGCTGGGAAGCTGAGACTCAACCCAGGTCTGCCTGACTCCAAAGTCTGCATCCTTTCCACTGTATATCCTGCTCCCAAAACCTGGATCCAAGCCTTGCTCTGCCACTAACTAGCTGTTTTGATTGTCATTAGGTGACCCGAAGTCTCTGAACATTGAGATTCTTCATTTGATGAGCAGGAATAATAGCCAAATGAACCTCGCCATAGCTGCTGTGCAACAAATATCAAAAGTGTGGATGTGGAAGCATTGTGTGCTGTTTGCTTTTCTATCCAGGTTCTCACATTAGGGATAATCATTGTTAGGGTCCAGGGTGTCACTTACCTTCCTCCCCTCTAGGGAGCTAACGAATGCAGTATATGCACAAAGAACAGTAACCAAATGGGAAAAGATGAACTACTTTACAGCATGGCGGTGCCAAGCTCTGGCAAAAGCCAGATAAGAGACTATGGCTTAGGCCAAATCCTGAAACAGAATCGTGGGACACAAATCATGCTTCCCATGGCCTACAGGGAGAGAGGAAAAGAGAGCGATGGCCTGGCATCCCAGTGCGCATGTCTGACCAATCACAGGGTGTGGGCTGTAGGCCTGTCTCAGTCTCCCAGGTGCAAAAAGGAACAGAGAAAACCAGGGTGGTCACATTTGGGTTTAGAAGGGTTCAGGTGTATGCAGGGGAGGAATAACTTTTCCTATACCCTCTTAAGTTCTGTGGCTAGGCCTGACAACTAAGTTGACATAGAGTAAGAAGATAAAACCATACAAATTTTATTTAATATTTTTATGCACACATGGGAGCCTTCATAGGAAAAACAAAGATCTGAAGAAGTGGTTAGGACCAAGAGTTTATGTACCTTTTTAAACAAAGATTAATAAATTTTTGAAGAAGTGATGAGACAAAGAAAAAGGATGTTAAACTTCTAAGAGTGGCAGTTTGTGGGAAAATGATGAGGAAGTATGTGGGGGGAAAATAATGGAAGAGAAGGATTATTTTAGTAGGTTTGTTTGTGCAGATCCATTTCAGCATTGACTTCTAGTCTCTGATGGTAAGAATATTCTCTATCTGATGGAGGAGCCAAGGGCTTGGCCCTCTGAAGGTTTCCTGAAAAATCAACTCACAAAAGGCAGATAATTTGGGGAAAAATATACAAATCTATGTAACATGTATACATGGGAGCCTGTAGAATGAAGATCCAAAGATGCAGGGAAAATTGTCCATTTTTATATTTAGGTTCAACAAAGTATGGACAGCCATGTAGAAATATGATTGGACAAAAAAGGTCTGATCTTATGCTAATAGATTGAGTATGGAAATCCAGCAAGGTCTGTCTGTCTAGATTCTTCTTGGCATCTCTGAGCATGCGTTCCATCCTCCTGGGTATAGGACAGGCCTCTCTCTGGAATCAGAATCTTATGACCTACAGTTAAACAAAGTAGATTGGATAATTTCTTCATGCCAATTTTTACATAGAAAGGTAAAGGAAAATTAGAGTAATATTTTTAAGTTTTATTATTGGCTTTGGGGAAGAGGAGTTCTGGTTTCTGAGATACCCCTCGGGGAACAGGGATTCTCATTTTTATGGCTGGCATCAGGAGAGAATGGGACTGAGAGAAAGAGGAGGGAAGGAGAAGGTCGGAGAAACACTTTCACTTCTGAGGCCTTCATTTTGCAATATTGCTTTCTAAGCCCCAACATGGGTACAAGGAGGGCACCTTTCTCATAGAAAATCTTATTGCCTGCTTTTAGGTAGAAAGGGAAGGTCAGCGAGCCCTTCCTGCATCTGCTGCTTCTTAAGTGCCTTCAGCTCAAAATATCTCATATGCCAAAGAGGCATATTTTGGGGTGCTATGTTTTGAATCCCCTCCTGTGCTTTGCCTGGGGACAAAAAGGAAACCCCCTGGCTTTCTGCAAAATAGGCGAGAAGGGACCTTGCTTTTGAAGGCCCAGGACTTGCCTCAATAGTAAGGGTGGCTACTGCCATGTTAGGCTTTGACCTATCAATTTCCTACCTGAGGTTTCTTATGGGAGGCAGGATGGTTCTTCTGGCTGCTCTTTTTCTCCCTGTCCTATATATAGGGCAAGGGACAGGCATGAGAACTTTTTGCCTCAGCAATATTTGACCCTGATTCAGAGAGCGTGGTGCTGAGGACCTCATCTCTCTTGAAAGTCAGAATCCTCAGCTCAACCTCAATGAAGGCCCAGGTGCTATTGGAAGTCTCTGCAGAATCACAGTTTCATTTGCCAGAGGTGTGGGAAGTAAGAAGGACAAGGGAGGTCATGAGGGAGGAAGTCAGGTCTGGGAATTCAGGTCTATCTGCCAAATAACCGATCAATTAGTGTTGCTCAAGTTGAAAGGCTGCCCTGTTGGACAACTTCCTTTGTCATCTCTTTTCAGTAGAAAGAAAATGAATATTGATCCCATTCTTGGCTCCATGCTCAGCCCCTTCAAATGAATATGATTGGGTTTTCCCAATGTAGTGGGTGACATTCGGACGTTTAGGGGCAATAGCATCTTCTCAGAACTCAGCCTTTGAAGTGGGGGCTGATTGAAGTGAGTCTGAGAGGATGTGGGGGTCAGTACAGGTTAGAAAAAGGCAGCTTCAGGTCTCAGATGGTGTCAGACAGGTTTTCTGCATCCTCAAGGGGCAGGCTTTGAACCTGAGTTACCTTAGAACTGGCTCAAAAATTAAGTTTGCAGAAGCTAAAAAATGGTTCCAATGAATTGTGGGAGACCAGAATATGCCACCCCAAAATATGCCTCTTTTGCATAAGGATTGTTGAGCTGAAGGCAATTAAGAGTAAGCAGCTGCAGGAAAGCTCTCTGCCCTCCCTCCATTTGCCTAAAAGCAGGACACAGATTTACAAAGACAAAAGGTATCCTGTCCCTACTTCTAACAAGAAGAACACAGGATAACCTCTGAAGACAACTTTAGATCCTCATTCCACCTGGAGACAGCACCAGAGGAATCTGCATTAACATGCTTTGCTAACTAACCTTTATCTGCCATTTATTTGCCTTTCCACAAGTGGCTGTCCCTAGAGACTTGAAGTCCTTTTTCTTTGTCTTCTCACATCTCTAAAAATTTACTGTTCTTTGTTGAAGATGTTATATAAGCTGGACTTCAAAGACACTTCTTGGACTTCAAGGACACCCACTCATTCTCTGGGTGTATCCCATGCATGTGTGAAATATATATGTTAATAAATGCCTTTTTGGTTTTCTTCCATTTATCTGTCTTTTGTTAGAGGTGGTCTGTTCCAATTAAGAACTTATGAGGGTTGAAGAAAAAATTAGTTTTCTTCCCCCACAGGATTCTTGGAAAAATGAACTATTACACTCAGCATGAGACCCAGAGGAGGTGAGGACTGCTGGGCAGGACCTCTTAAACTTCCTGGTAAAATGTTCCTTGTGGAGAATGAAAGGGTATCTCAAGAGTCTCAAGAGTCCTGGGGTACAGTCTGAAGCTGCCAGCTATAAGCATAAATTCCTTTTAATCTCATGGACTACTGTAAAAATTCTTAAGAATTTTGCATTCTCCTATGTAAAGTTTTTATATAAATATGATGTTTTGAATCAGTTGTCAATTAGCAAAATTGATGCAGAGGAAAATGCACCACATTCATGTCATAGCTTTAGGAACTCCATGTCCTACCACCTGGCGTATGTTATTTTGAGAAGCATAGCCCATTAACAATAATATTCAGATGCATAGAACCCCTGATTCTAAGCTTTGTGGAGGTCACTACTGCGGCATGATTGCTTTCTGCTTGGGTCATCCTCTGCCTGGGGGTGAGAAAGGAATCTGTGTCCTGCTGAGTCTCAAACCTTTCTGAATTCTGGAAAGTTGTCTCCTTGGGTATTCCGGAGGCATTGCATCTGGTGCTCCATGTCCTGTCAGGGACATCCCTCTTCCAGCCCATACAGATGGGATCATATGCACTGAGGGGGCCCAGAGATGGTGGGTTCACAATGGGTTTCAATGATGTGGCCTCCTCTCTGCTAAGCCATGAATGTGACCCATGTACACCAGCAAGCCAGTGGCTATGGATGAGGTACAAGAAGTAGGAGAATGTGGGGCTCATGAAAATATATTATCTTTCATTTTGAAAATTGTTTCCCTTGCGCATCTAAATGGACATTTATTATGCGTTTCCATAGTTACAAGTAGAAAATGGTAGGGGGAGAAATGAGTGGAAAGTAATTGAAAATGCTGACTTCGATATCGAAAATTACATGTGGATATGTGCTCCCCTGCTGCCTTTCCCCCACTTCCCCCAACTCCCACCACACACACTTAGGGAGTAAGGAAGATGGGGAGGGAGAGAGACAGGGGAAAAAAAGGGCGAGAAAAAGAGAGAGAGAGAGAGAGAGACCCACCTAGGGCGCTAGGGTAAGAGTAAAGACAAAGGAGATCAGCTTTGAGACACCAGCCTCCTCTTCAGTATCCACAGATTACTAAAAATGCTGCAACTGTTGTTCAAAATATGCTCTGGATCCTTGTGGCAGCAAAATGGCTGGGTCTGCATCCTTCTTAAAATCTGTTGTCCAGGAGGAAGTGGGGAGAATGTACTCTAGATTCATCAGGCTGAACCATGGTTGAGGGGCTCAGAGGCTCCCAGGATCCAGGGATGAAGACCCAAGTTTCTTGAGATTAGGAGGCCAGCCTGTCTGCCTGCGGCACAGCCAATTCTC